ATGTTCCCACTTTTATATTTTTATATGCCAACAAAAGTATAAATACATTTTGTTGGCATATAAAAATATAAAAGTGGGAAAGTAACAGCAAAACTATTGTCTGTTTATACACCGCCATTTTTTTGTTTTCAATATTTATCCTTTTGTGCATTTTTCCCATATGTCTATTATCTGAACAGGATTAGCACAGCACTTTTTTTGTTTGTGTGTTCACTATCTTTAGTTGGGTGTGTGTTTAGATTTATTCATTCATTTATTATTGCAGATCTTTGGGAACATCCTTTTTCACTTGTTTTCTTTTCTTTTTGCTGATTAGGGTTATGTAGTTTACTTTTCATTATATATAGGATTAGCGCAGCACCACTTTTGTCCCACTGTATATTAACAGGTACATGCATGCGTTGGCATGCAGTTTTACATGTGTTGATGTGTGTCCTTGAAGTGAAACTGCACTGAATCTTAATACCACAAACCATAAATATTATAGAATTCATTTTTAATATTCACAACAAACTCCTCCATCCATGTCTCCATGCTTTATTAAATTATTTTGAAAAACACCTCCTGGCGGTTCTGGCAGTGGCCATCTTGAGTCAGGGCAGATGATTCAAGTAGCAGTTATTTTTCCTGGAATCCATCTAACCTTAGCTCTCGCTGACCTGAGAGCCCTCCCTCCCCTCCTAAAGACTCCTGGGATGTGTGACATCATTTGCCTAGGCATGGAAACCAGGAAGTAAATGAAGCAAAAAAAAAAAAGGTTAAAGCCAAATCAGATACTTGGGGCAGCACAGTGGTTAGCACTTCCGCCTCGTAGCACTAGGGTCATCGGTTCAAATCCCAAACACGTCAGTACCTGCATGGGGTTTGGGGGGGGAGGTCTTCATTCTCTAAGCCCTGAATAAATGTATAGAAACATAAGAGGACCACAAAAGTGTGCTTTTTTTTGGCAGTTTTGCAGAAATATTAATAATGTTTATGTTCTTTTGACATTTTGAGATGCAAGTATTGCATTTTTAAAAACAAGCTGAGCAGCCAAAACCAACCAGTTACATTTCAGCTTTCAGCACTTTGTTCATGCCAGCACATGCTGATTTGTGATTGGTTGTTGCACACCACTACCCCTTCTAAGTTATTAAATGAAATGCAGAGAGTTCCGGAGTTTTCCTTAATTGTAATATTTCCTTCTTTTCCGGGTTGTTTGAAGCATGAATGGCAGGGACAAGCTAATCTGTGGGCATATAAATAATCTCAAGTCAGACATTAACGAGACGATTGTCTTTGGCTAACACTCTGTATCATTCATTAGGCTGTACAATGACACCATAAAATTCTGAACTCGTACTTGGCACAATGGATGGTCTTGTAACTCAGCCAAATGCTAGCTAAATGGCTTCTCACTGCTTTTGTGATGGTTTGCTTTAGAACGGTGCAAGGCAAATGTTTGGCCACACTGAGCGAGGTCTTTGAAAAAAAAGAAAATGCTCACAGCTGTACCATCTGCAATAAAAGTATTGAAAGGGAAATAAGGCGCTAAAAAGGACACAGTATTTCATGGGGCTCAATATAATGTTTGTTTTAGTTGCTACTAGCGTCTACCCCCAAAACCTAAGGTTATACCCATTAGATATACACCTACCTTTGGGTAGAAATAAAATAAATAACTTAAGTGGGGGCATGAGCAGTGGTGAATCTGTGACTCCCCTGCTACCTTGACCATATGCAAGCAGGTACGGGGCTGAATTTATGCTTTTGCTCCGTTTCATTCAACAATAATGGTTGTAACAAGACTACAAATTTACCTACCACCGCTCTAACAAAGTTGTCCCAGTTGAGGGTAATGTAATGCTATTTCTTTGGTTTAGGCCAGAGGTCTCCAAACTTTCTAAGCAAAGGGCCAGTTTACTGTCCCTCACACTTTAGCGGGGCCGGGCTGTGGCCATTGAGTGCAGAAATTGTACTGGTGTCAGTAGGAGTAAACAATGGATTTTGGGTATTAGGGTGGAGGAATAGTGCACCATCGTTGGTATCAGTGGGAGAAATAGAAGTGTACAATCCCAACGCACACGTTTCTGCGTTAAAAATGGATATGTGTATAAGTGGGTGCTGCAGCGACCATTGGAAGGAATCAAACAGAATCAGCAAGGGAGAATGTCACCAGCACACCAAGGATCACCAATATGGGTCCAAAATGTTTAATGAACAATCTCTTAGATTGTAAGCTCCAAGGAGCAGGGCCCTCCTAACCCTCTTGTATTGAACTGTATTGTTGCTGTATTGTCTCCCTTTATATTGTAAAGTGCTGACAAACTGTTTGGCGCTATATAAATCCTGTATAATAATAATCACATAGTTACAGCACGGTAACGTTATGGAGTCTTGCAGGACCCATTCATCAGGCATCTGACCAAGCCTGATGAAGGGGTCCTGCGAGACTCCAAAACATTGCCTTGATGTAAATATGTGATCGTTCATTAAAACTTTTGAACCCATATTGGTGATCCTTGGTGTGCTGGTGACATTCTCCCATAGTGGGAGAAATAGAGCCCCATCGTTGGTATCAGTGGGAGAAATAATTCCCCATCGTTGGTGTTAGTCTCAGGAATAGTGCCCCATGGTTTGTATCAGTGGCAGAAATAATTCCCCATCGTTGGTGTCAGTCTCAGGAATAGTGCCTCATGGTTGGTATCAGTGGGAGAAATAGATGTGTATAATCCCAACGCACACGTTCCTGCGGTAAAATGGCTGTGTGTATAAGTGGGTGCTGCAGTGACCATCGGCTGGAACCGAACAGAATCAGCAAGGGAGAATGTCACCAGCACACCAAGGATCACCAATATGGGTCCAAAATGTTTAATGAACGATCTTAGATTGTAAGCTCCAAGGAGCAGGGCAATATTATTGGTGTCAGTGGCAGGAATAGTTCCCCATCGTTGTACCAGTAATAAAGTTGAGTGGATCATCCTGAGTCTAGGGCTGCTTCATTCTTATATTATAACAAACCAGAAGCTTTTCTCCCTTGGGATTTAATGCGGCCATGACAATATAAATACAACATTTCTTACAGAATAAACAATAAAAACAATTTGTACATTTCTGGCATAGATGCTTACAATCTCTACCTTTCAACAAATGGTATACAATAATTATCAATAACAAGTTGGCATTCCAACCCCGTTGTACAGTAAGCAATTATAATTGTATTTGCCCCCAGGGGGAGTAAAATTACATACTGTACAAGAGGGTTGTGATGCCCACTTGTTAATTGTTGAAAGGTACAGATTGTAAGCATGCCAGAAATATACAAAATATTTTAGTTTTTTTCTGTAAGAAATTGTGTATCGTTAAAAATATTTTTATGTATTTATGTTTATCATGGCTGCATTAAAGTCCCATGGGGGATAATTTTCTGGTTAGGTCATTGGTATTAGTGGGAGAAGTAGTGCCCCATCTTTATTGTCAGTGGATGTAATAGTGCCCCATCGTTATTGTCAGTGGATGTAATAGTGCCCCGTCGTTGGTATTAGTGGGAGAAATAATTCCCAATTGTTGATGTCAGTGGCAGGAATAGTACCCCATCATCTGTATCAGTGGCAGGAATAGTGCCCCATCTTTCGTGTCAATGGCAGGATAGTGCCCCATTGTTGGTGTCAGTGGCATGAATAGTGCCACATTTTTGGTGTCAGTGGCAGGAATAGTATCCCGCCATTGGTGTCAGTGGCAGGAATAGTCCCCCCGCTGTTTGGTATCGGTAGCAGGAATAGTGCCACAGCATTAGTGTCAATGTCAGGAATAGTGCCACGCTGTTGGTGTCTGTGTCAGGCATAGTGCCATGTTGTTGGTGTCAGTGGTAGGAATAGTGTCACGTTGGTGTCAGTGGTAGGAATAGTGTCACGTTGGTGTCAGTGGCAGGAAATGTGCCACGTTGTTGGTGTCAGTGGCATGAATAGTGCCACATTGGTGTCAGTGGCGGGAATAGTGCCACGTTGTTGGTGTCAGTGTCAGGCATAGTGCCACGTTGTTGGTGTCAGTGGCGGGATTAGTGCCACGTTGTTGGTGTCAATGGCGGGATTAGTGCCACGTTGTTGGTGTCAATGGCGGGAATAGTACCACGTTGTTGGTGTCAGTGGCGGGAATAGTGCCACGTTGTTGGTGTCAGTGTCAGGCATAGTGCCACGTTGTTTGTGCTAGTGTTAGGCATAGTGCTAGGTTGTTGGTGTCTGTCAGGAATAGTGTCACATCGTTGGTGTCAGTAGGAGGAATAGTGTTCCATCATTGGTGTCAGTGGGAGGAAAAGTGCCCTATCATTGGGAAGAATAGTGCCCCTTCATTGCGGTTAATGGGAGAAATAGTGCCCTGTCAGTAATAGGAATCATGCCCCTGTGTTGGTGTCTGTGGGAGGTCTAATGTCTTGCATCAGTGGGAGGAACAGTGCTCCAAGGGCCCAATAAAAGCAAGCAAAGGGCCGCAGTTTGGAGACCACTGGTTTAGGTTAGGTTAGAACATGCCCTCTATATGAATGCCACTTGTACTCCTTTCTAAACATGGTGCTTTTTCTGCTCTTAATTCTCAGCACATCCTCCTATGTGTTTTGGAAGTAAATCACAGCTTTGCAGAAAAAATGTTTAATTCATTGCTATTTGTAATCATTTTAAGCAGAACAAATTATGCTCTTTTCTTTAGCACAAGGGCTTTGCTATATTAAATATTTCATCGAGCCAACACAATCTCCATTTCAGAATTTATTAAGACTGACATCTCTTGAGTCCCATTACACAAACCACACAGAGAGAGGCTCAATAATATACCCTTTGGGCATCCAAAATATGAAACATGCTGAAAAATTCAGGGGAACCTGGATCTGCATTCTTTATGATCTGTTTTACTGCTATTACAATGAATTATTTTTTTATCATTACTACATGTGTCTGCCAATTGGTTGTCTACTTACTGGATGTGGATATGTGACTATAAGTATTTATAATGATTTTATGTTTTTCCAGCTCTTACAGCAGCAGCAGGAAGGGGGAAACTAGAGGTCTGCGAGCTCCTCCTGGATCATGGAGCCATCTTGTCACGCCTTAATAGACGTGGGATATCTCCCCTGTTCTGTGCAGTGCGCCAAGGGCACTGGCAGGTATGTGGTGTTCAGTCTTTGCCTTTTCGCTTAGCAAATCAATGTTATGGATAAAGTTTTGTATAGAGGAGACAAGGATGCTGCAGGACACCCATACCATGATCTTTCCATGTATGGTGTACTACATAATCTGTCCACATGTTGGATAATAACGGTTTCAGGAGAACACAGAAGATCATCCACATTGTCCTCTTAAGAGGGCTGATACATTTTCCTATGACTTCCCTTTCTTTCTCTACTAATAGAGAGAACCCAACTTTTCCCCATCATATGGTGGAGAAGGATCTGGGGTTCTGGTAGATCACAAGCTTAATAATTGCATGCGATGCCAAGCTGCTGTTTCTAAAGCGAGCAAAATCCTCTCTTGTATTAAAAGAGGTATAGACTCCAGAGAGAGAGATATCATATTACCCCGGTACAAATCATTAGTAAGACCTCATCTGGAATATGCAGTTCAGTTTTGGGCACCAATTCACAAAAAGAACATTGGGGAACTGGAGAAAGTACAGAGAAGGGCAACCAAACTGATAAGAGGCATGGAGGAGCTCAGCTATAAGGAAAGATTAGAGGAACTGAATTTATTCTCTCTCGAGAAGAGGAGATTAAGGGGGGATATGATCAACATGTATAAATACATCAGTGGCTCATATAGTGAACTCGGTGTAGAGTCATTCACCCTGAGGTCATCACAGAGGACAAGGGGCACTCTTTACATCTGGAGGAAAAGAGATTTAATCTCCAAACACGGTAAGAGTAAGAGCTGTGAAAATGTGGAATAGACTTCCTCAAGAGTTAGTTCTGGCCAGCTCAGTGGATTGCTTTAAAAAAGTCCTGGATTCTTTCTTGGATACACAGAATATAATTGCTTACTAACATTTATAGGTAAAGTTGATCCAGGGAATATCCAATTGCCTCTCGTGGGATCAGGAAGAAATTTTTTTCCCTGAAGGAGCAAATTGGATCATGCTTTGCTGGGGGTTTTTTCCTTTCTCTGGATCAACTGCGGATATAGGATTATAACTTTTTTTTTTTTTAATGGTTGAACTGAATGTATTTTTGTCTTTTTTCAGCCAGATTAACTATGTAACAATGGCTCATATACTGGCAGAATTTTTCTAAACATAATAAGCTGGGACTGTATGGCTCAGTGACTCCAGAACATTACTGAAATGTCAGAGGATATTTAGGGCCACCTGCATGTTGAATAGCGGAGTAACTGGCAAGATGTGTCATTGTGAATACCTAGAGACTTTATTGTTTTCAAAGAGAATGTCTTTGTTTCACAGTAATGACCTGCTGATGTTTCAAGGACATGATCTGTGATGAGAATCAGTAAAGCTGACCGACCATACACTGATTGAATTTCAATAAGTGTGTGGCTGCCCCTGCTGGACCTGTTGGAAAACTTTAGTAGATCAGTGGCTGCAGCTACACTTATGAGTGTGTTCTGATAATGGTGGGTCCCGCTGTCAGAATACAATATTTTGGGGATGGGGGCAGGGTTATTGGGTTCCTCCATACACTTCCTTCGTGTGGATGGAGGAATCTGTTGGGTTTTTTTTTCTTGTTCAACCTGGTGACTGGATGAAGGAGGAAAAAAAGTGTATGGCCAGCCTAAGACACCGTCACTCTGTTCCACTGCTAAATGAGAAGAATATAAATGACCAATATGGGGAATATTTACTAAAACTGGTGCAGCTGTGCATGGCAGCCAATCAGCTTCTAACTTCAGCTTCTTCAATTAAACTGTGACCATAAAATCTGACAGCTGATTGGTTTCTATGCAGAGCTGCATCAGATTTTGCACGCTCCAATTTTAGTAAATAACCCCCTTTGTATCCAGAAGTAGGTTCCACTGGAATAATTTCTATTTAGCGCCGGCACCTCCTGGCCCTTCTAAGGGGTTTCAGATGCCGGGAGGCAGGTTGGCGGTTTCTGGTTGTGTGACCGTGGTGATTACCTGTCACAGTGGTCACATGTTCAGAAAATTTCCAATCGCAAGTAGAGCTCGGGAGCTTTCCGTTAGCCACTGGTAACTGTGCCGGGATTGTGCTGATTGCATGTTTTTGGCACAATTCTGTTTACATTCTGGTACGCTTATATGCGGCATTAAAGCCCACACACCAAGAGGCCACATGCTTACAGCTGGCGAGAAGTTAAAGAAGAAATGAAGTCTAAATCTGCCCAAACAAGGTGGACAGAGGAAAAAAAGTAGAAGTCTCCAGTATTGCCTGTGGTCTCCATGCAGCTGATTTTTTCCCTACTACAGACACAACATGCCTAGTTGTGCATTGTGTGAATGCAGCCATCTTGGTAGAGGCAGGCCTTTGCTTCCTCCTGTCAGAGCCTTCAGCAAGGAGAACACATTGAAACAGCACAGTAGTGACATCATCAGATCTCCTGAGACTAGCAGTTGGAGGCAGCAGTACACTTTTCTGTTAAAAGGCCTCTCTTATTGGAAGTGAGAACATGTGTCAGGGCTCCGGATATGACCAGAGGTATGTGAACTGACACAGGGAAACGCAAGCTTCAGATATGGTATAAATAAGACAATTTATTAAAGACTAACAATACAAACATAAACGCAGTGCACCAAACCCCAAGCTAACACAAATACATACAACAAGGTGAAACAAACCCAAACCTAAACTGATACAGATACACAGGTACATACACATATAGAGCACAACGTAATCAGGCAGGCCGGGTCGATAACTATCGGGCAGGTAGGTACAGGAGGAGCAGGCGGAGAGAATGGTCAGGGTCACAAGCCAGGGATCAAAACAGGAGAAGTCAGCAGAGGTCAGGATCAGGCAGGGTCAGCAACAAGTCAGGCAGAGGCAGAAACAAACAGGAACAGGAACGCAGGTTACAAGATACAGGGGCCCATGGAAAAACACACACCAAGGCACAGACTGCAGGTCTGGCCATCCCTTAAATACACCTCTGTAATCAGCTTCAGGTGTTTGGCTGACTGGAGGGTTGAGTCTCTGATTGCTGAGAGCACCCGCTGGCCAGCCCTGGTACTGCAGCCCACAAGGCAGGTGAGTCCCACCATTACTGGCAAGTCCATTCCTGACAACATGTATCGATGGGATCACTTACATTAATCTGACCACATTCACACCATGATTTATTGGAACAAAAATCCCCATAAAGCAAAAGATTCTATAAGAGAATTATGCCATTGCTGAACTCTGTCTGAAATTGCTAGTTTCCTGGCTGTCATTCCAATCCAATGAAAATGACACTTTTTGAGTTTTCAAGTGAGAGCAATCCTGATTCACATACTTGTTCAGGATCAGTGGCTCAAAGTTTTTAAAATTGAACTCTGGGATACACAAATATTGTTTTCTGGGATACTCAAGAGGCCTGTGTATTTTTCCTGGAATCTTAGTGTGCTTTGTGAATTTCTTCCAGATCCTGGTTTGTGCAGTAATCCAGTGTGAAACTTTGCCTCTGTACAGGAGCTTCCTGTAATAAAGACCAGTCACTGCTGCTTTCTGTCTTTATGCCAGGTGACTGGTCTTGCATCTTCCCCCTCCTGTAGTTTTCTGCAGTCTGTTGTGGGTGGGGCCTGCTGGATCCCTCCCACAGCTCTGCTCTCTGAACAGGCTGTGTACAGCATATTGATGATGTCAATGCTACTTTTACAAGGTAATATATGGGTTTGAAAAGGCACGTTGTGCACAAACAGTAGATTTATAGCTATTGTGGCTAATAGTAAATACAGTTAAATTAACGTTTTTTGTCCAGAGTTTAGCTCTAAGCCACTGGATCAACATGACAGCCTGTCAACTGGCATTTTGAGAAGGTGAGGTCAGCCGTTGCAGCTATTAAAATGCAGAAGATTGTTTTCCCTTAACATGTTCTCTCTGCATAATGGTAAAATACCTTCTGTATGCAGCTTCCCTTCCCAGCCCCCCTTATACCCTCCTGAGGCCGATCTAAATCCAGGGATGTGCATGAGAGCAGAGGCTGTCTTGGCTCTTTCCCTTCTCATTGGCTCAGAGACCGCAGTGGGAGCCATTGGCCCCTGCCGCTGTTAATCACAGCCAGTGAGGAGGGAGCGGGGCTGAGCAACGCTCTGTGTCATTGAACATATAGAGTGGTGCTTGGGAATGAACCCACATAAGTGCCCCCATAGCAAATAGCTTGCTATGGGGTACTCAGCGTGAGGGGAGGAGTCAAGAGCACCAGTGGGGGACCCAAGAAAAGGAGGGCTACTCTGTGAAAAACCATTACAAAGAGCAGGTACACAGGACATGTTTGTTATTTTAATTTTAAAAGATTGAGTATTTAAATTACTTTAAATAATTCTTAAAAGAGAAGTATGGGGGGGGGGGGTTTTCTAATTCTATTTACCTAGGTCAGTGGTCGGCAAGCCGCGGCTCGCGAGCCACATGCGGCTCTTTACAAACTTAAATGCGGCTCTTCTGTGTGCCGGGCGCCCGCTCCCCTCCCTCCTCTCGGGCGGCCGCCCGCTCCCCTCCCTCCCCCTCTCGGGCGGCCGCCCCCTCCCCTCCCTCCTCTCGGGCGGCCGCCCCCCCCTCCCCTCCCTCCTCTCGGGCGGCCGCCCCAAAAGTCAGGACTCTGCAGCTGTCAGGATGTAGGCGGGGCAGCCAGGTTGTAGGCGGGGCAGCGTGACGAACTCCTCTCCTCTCACAGTCCGCCCTGAAGACCAGAACGGCGCGGGAACACGGCGAGAGGAACGCGCGGAGCAAAGGTAAGTGAATTGACACAGGGGGGACTTACTATATGGGGGATGAATTACTATATGGGGGATGAATTACTATATGGGGGTTGAATTACTATATGGGGGTTGAATTACTATGGGGGTTGAATTACTATGGGGGTTGAATTACTATGGGGGTTGAATTACTATGGGGGATGAATTACTATATGGGGGATGAATTACTATATGGGGGATGAATTACTATATGGGGGATGAATTACTATATGGGGGATGAATTACTATGGGGGATGAATTACTATGGGGG